TGGACATTTCAATACAGGACTAGTCCAAGACTGTTTGCTGCTTTAGGCAAAGGATAAACTAGGCACCAAAGGCAGCCAGGGCCCCCAAGAGGGAAGGCAGGGCAAGGGGTTTCCCAACAAGAGAAGCATGCAGGAGCAGCAGGGCTTCCAGGAGGAAGAGGAGGCCACAGCTGAGGCCTTTAAGAGGAAGAGCACCTCAGAGGCTGAGCACAGAGACAACTCTGGGACACCCAACTGGTGTCAGGCAGCCAGGAAGTTCTCCACGTTCTGGCTCTTAACAACATTCAGCTTTGGCATGACAGGGAAGGGAACATGGATGAAGGGCACTGACCGCGGGTGCAAGTGGTTTAAGGATAAACTAACAATCCCCACCCTATTTCATGTACAGAAGGTGAGTAGTTGAACACTACTTTAATCTACCAGTAGGCCAGCGTCTTCCATTCTGTTAGAAGGAAAGCCTGGCTTAAGGGATGCAAGGCCAACCCTAGGTGCACTCAGCTGTACCCGCAAGATCTCACTGCTCCTCCTAGCATCTTCTCCTGGAAGCAGTTGTCTCATACTGTCTTATAGTAGACAGTATAAACTGGACACTAAACCCTTAGCACTTCACAATGTTACAGACAAGACTTACTTGAAAATACAATTAAAAGACAGATCGGTTAGTTTGGACCAGTATGCAAAGGAATCTTGTAGAACCTTGGAGATTTATCAGAGCAAGAAGTTGGTAGCATAAGCTTTCACACACTTAAGTCTGCATCAAATGTATGCTATTTCAACAATGTGATGAGGCAGCAAAAAAAGCCAATGGGATTTTGGGCTGCATAAATAGGAATCTAGTATCTAGATCCAGGGAAGTCATGCTACCCCTCTATCCTGCCTTGGTCAGACCACATCTGGAATACTGTGCCCAATATCTCCCACAATTGAAGGGAGATGTTGACAAACTGGAATGTGTTCAGAGGGGAACAACTAAAATGATCAAGGGTCTGGAGAACAAGCTCTATGAGGAATAGCTTAAAAAGCTGGGCATGTTTAGCCTATGGAAGAGAAGGCTGAGAGGAGACATGATGACCATGTATCAATATGTGGGGGAGGAGGGAGCAAGATTGTTTTCTGCTGCCCTAGAGTCTAGGACATGAAACAATGGCTTCAAATTGCAGGAAAGTGATTCCATCTGAACATTAGGAAGGACTTCCTGACTGTGAGACCTGTTCAGCAGTGGAACTCTCTGCCTCAGAGTGTGGTGGAGGCTCCTTCTTTGGAGGCTTTTAAACCTCATTAGACGCACTTTAAACTAGGTCCACCGGGGGAGGGAGACAACAGCCTTGCGAACACTACTTTACCCATAATGTCTGGGAATCGCCAGAAGCCTAAACGGAGGGCTGCACAAACACAACAAGGACCAAGTACCAAAAGCACAATAATCCCAATTAAACAGCTCAAGGGAAGATCTCAGGGGCTCACATGTCTTTACACTAATGCACAGAGCATGGGAAATAAACAAGACGAACTCCAACTTTTAGCACAACACCACAAATATGATATCATAGGGATCACTGAAACCTGGTGGGATGACTCCTATCGCTGGAATGTAGATATCGAGGGGTATAACCTCTTTCACAGAAACCGAACAAAGGGGAGAGGAGGTGGAGTAGCCTTATATGTCAAAAACTCTTATGCTGCAGAAGAGATTCAAGACAGCAATCTGGGAAACCAGCTTGAAATCATCTGGATAAGAATCAAGGGAACTGGGACTCAAAAAGATGTCGTTGTAGGCGTCTACTACAGACCCCCAAGCCAGGAGGAAGAACTTGATGAAGTCTTCTGCCAACAGTTGACCAAACAGGCACAGAGAAGAGATGTAGTAGTCATGGGCGATTTCAACTATCCCGATATTTGCTGGAAAACAAACTCGGCCAAGAGTACAAGGTCCAACAAATTCCTCGCTTGCCTTGCAGACAATTTCATGGTCCAGAAGGTAGAAGAGGCAACAAGGGGATTGGCTACTCTTGATCTCATCCTAACAAATGCGGAGGACCTGATCGATGCGGTCGAAGTGGTAGGATCCTTAGGGGCAAGTGACCATGTGCTCCTGCAATTTGAGGTACAAAGGAAGGCCGAAACTAAGACAAGTCAAACCCGCATTTTGGACTTTAGGAGAGCTGATTTCCAAAAAATGAAGGAAACACTGAGCAGCATTCCGTGGACACCGATACTAAAAGACAAGGGAGTTACGGATGGATGGGAATTTCTCAAGAGTGAAATACTCAAGGCGCAATTGCAAACCGTGCCAACAAAGAGAAAAAATAGGACAAGTGCAAAGAAGCCAGAATGGATGTCCAAAGAACTTCTAACTGTGCTAAGACACAAAGAGACATGCACAAGAAGTGGAAAAAGGGAGAAATCACCAAAGAAGAATTCAAACAAATAGCCAACACCTGTAGGGAAAAGGTCCGCAAGGCTAAAGCACAAAACGAGCTCAGGCTTGCCAGGGATTTAAAAACAATAAAAAGGGTTTCTTATGTCAGTAGAAAAAGGAAAAACAAGGAGGCGATAGGGCCTCTTCGAGGAGAAGATGGGGCAATTCTGACAGGGGATAGGGAAAAGGCAGAACTACTTAATGCCTTCTTTGCCTCGGTCTTCTCACAAAAAGAGAGTCTTCAACCTCAGCAAGATGGAGTGGATGAGGGATTGGAGGACATCCAACCCCAAATTGGGAAAGAAGTCGTCCAGGAATACCTGGCCGCTCTTAATGAGTTCAAGTCCCCAGGGCCAGATCAACTACACCCCAGAGTATTGAAGGAACTAGCGGAAGTCATTTCGGAACCATTGGCAACCATCTTTGAGAGTTCTTGGAGAACGGGAGAAGTTCCAGCAGATTGGAGGAGGGCCAATGTGGTCCCAATCTTCAAGAAGGGAAAAAAGGATGACCCAAACAACTACCGTCCGGTCAGCCTCACGTCGATACCGGGCAAGATTCTGGAAAAGATTGTTAAGGAAGCGGTCTGCAAACACTTAGAAACAAATGCAGTCCTCGCTAATAGTCAACATGGATTTATCAAAAACAAGTCATGCCAGACTAATCTGATCTCTTTCTTCGATAGAGCTACAAGCTGGGTAGATGCGGGGAATGCCGTGGATGGAGCGTACCTGGATTTCAGTAAGGCCTTCGACAAGGTCCCCCATGACCTTCTGGCAAGGAAACTAGTCCAATGTGGGCTAGGCAAAACTACAGTGAGGTGGATCTGTAATTGATTAAGTGGACGAACGCAGAGAGTGCTCACTAATGCTTCTCTTCATCTTGGAAAGAAGTGACAAGTGGAGTGCCGCAGGGTTCCGTCCTGGGCCCGGTCCTGTTCAACATCTTTATTAATGACTTAGATGAAGGGCTAGAAGGCATGATCATCAAGTTTGCAGACGACACCAAATTGGGAGGGATAGCCAATAGTCCAGAGGACAGGAGCAGAATTCAAATGATCTTGACAGATTAGAGAGATGGGCCAAAACTAACAAAATGAAGTTCAACAGTGACAAATGCAAGATACTCCACTTTGGCAGAAAAAATGAAATGCAAAGATACAGAATGGGGGACGCCTGGCTCGAGAGCAGTACGTGTGAAAAAGATCTTGGAGTCCTCGTGGACAACAAGTTAAACATGAGCCAACAATGTGATGTGGCGGCAAAAAAAGCCAATGGGATTTTGGCCTGCATCAATAGGAGCATAGTGTCTAGATACAGGGAAGTAATGCTACCCCTCTATTCGCACTTTGGTTAGACCACACCTGGAATATTGTGTCCAATTCTGGGCACCACAATTCAAGAGAGAGATATTGACAAGCTGGAATGTGTCCAGAGGAGGGCGACTAAAATGATCAAGGGTCTGGAGAACAAGCCCTATGAGGAGCGGCTTAGGGAACTGGGCATGTTTAGCCTGAAGAAGAGAAGGCTGAGAAGAGATATGATAGCCATGTATAAATATGTGAGAGGAAGCCACAGGGAGGAGGGAGCAAGCTTGTTTTCTGCTTCCTTGGAGACTAGGACGCGGAACAATGGCTTCAAACTACAAGAGAGGAGATTCCATCTGAACATTAGGAAGAACTTCCTGACTGTGAGAGCTGTTCAGCAGTGGAACTCTCTGCCCCGGAGTGTGGTGGAGGCTCCTTCTTTGGAAGCTTTTAAGCAGAGGCTGGATGGCCATCTGTCAGGGGTGATTTGAATGCAATATTCCTGCTTCTTGGCAGGGGGTTGGACTGGATGGCCCATGAGGTCTCTTCCAACTCTTTAATTCTATGATTCTATGAGGCTAGATGGCCATCTGTTGGGGGTGCTTTGAATGTGATTTTCCTGCTTCTTGGCAAGGGGTTGGACTGGATGGCACACAAGGTCTCTTCCACATTTATGGTTCTATGATTCTATGTACGAAAATGTAAGTTGAGATGATAGTTTCTTGGGGTAAAATGACTTTAAGAGAATACAACTTGCCCAGTAATCAGAAGACCCTACTGAACCTGAAGAAGCTCCCATTTACTCACTGTATTCCAGTTGCTAACTAAACTGGTCTTTGATCTGACCCTGTTACTTTCATGAATTTGTTGGCGACTATGGAAAGAAGGAAGCTAGACCAGAGGCTAATCCAGCATTCCTCAGATCTATATGGGAAAGTTCCTTTTTTGGATGAAGATTCCCAGAATCCCCTTACCAATGTAGTTTGTGAAGAAAGTCATGTGCAGCTTGTGAGTACCCTGAAAGCTCCCCTAATATCCCTCAGACCCTCCATTTATGCCTCATCTTTAATACAATCAATCAATTTAATGGTGAAACAATATGTAAGGCATTTAAGCTACATATATAATATGAAATAGGTATTCTGTGTAACTCCAAAACTTTCATATTTTACATCAACTGGAGTTGATCCAATAACCAATAATTCTTTTCTTGTTTTTACACATCCGAGACGAGGCAAGCAGAAATATCATGGAAAAGACTCAAGACACCCTTACCTAACATTTTGACAGTCTGTCTGTTATACTTGTCCCTGATAGAAGTCTTGGGTCCAATATCCTTCCTCTTCCTCCTCCAGAGTTTCCTTACAATTAGGCTGTAGAGGACGGTCAAGCAAAACACAGGCAGGAAAAAGAAGATGCTAGAGGTCCACACCATGATGGTTAGGAGCCCTGACTGGATCGCATACTCTGTGGTTCGGCACTCATTTGTCTCCAGGGGATTGGTGCCATTTTCATGTTCAACCCCAACCAGGACAAAGATAGGGCCAGCACTGACAAAAGATACAGCCCAGAGCACAAGAATAACCAGCTTAACTTTGCCTTTGGTGATCACCACTTTGGCCCAGAGTGGAAAGCAGACAGCAAAATACCTCTCGACACTCAAGGCAGTGATGTTGAGGATGGTGGCATAGGTACAACTTTCGCTGACAAACTGGAAGAGCTTGCAGAGAAGATTCCCAAAGTTCCAGGGTCGATATTGCCAGAGGCGGAAAAGATCCAGAGGCATGCAGAGAAAGATCAGAAGGTCTGAGAAGGCCATGCTGGAAAGATACAGGTTGGTTGTTGTCCTCATGTCCCGGAACTTGGAGACCACCAGCATGGTCATCATGTTGCCCAAGATGCCAATAACAAAGAGGAGGACACAGGTGACAGTGATCCCAGTGAGAAGGGAAGCAGGGAAGAGGTGCAGTGGGTCCTTGGGCCATGTGTCATTGTCATAATCCATGACCAGCTCAGTGATGCTTTTGTTGTTGTGCATCCCAAGAACTTCCAGGACTCTCTGGGCAGAAGATGGCTTCTGATGGTCTGGAGAGGCTGTGTCAGCTGTTTATCATGACTGGGAAAGATGATGCAACCACAGCAATAGCAGCAAACGAGAGTTGTTGGGTACCTAGCTGCATGAAAACAAACCAACAAGAATCCAAACCCTGTGAGCAAGTCTGAAAGAAAGAAAACAACAGGAATAGACATCCTGAAGCTGGGTAAAACGGTTTTTCAAACTGAGTGACTTTCATGGAAACCGCACGTGCAGTGAATTAACTAACTCATCTGGAAAAGCAAGGAGAGCATGGAGACCACCCTGTTTCTGCATTCATGGTTAGTAATGCAGGTTAGACTGAATGATAAGCCATTTCACATGTGCATTTCATCACCGGAGTGCATTCAATGATGTCTGCCAAGTGAGAGAGGCAGCTCCTTTAGAAACCATGGCCGGAGATATGATGCAGCAAGCCATTCACATACCTGTCCATCCAATTGGATGAAGTAGTTGACAAGTGATGACATGCATGTGGGAAGTGGGCCATAGAATCAAAATCTCTGGGAGAACCCAAATGTAACCCCTTCTTCCAAGGAAGGAGTTTATCCCTTCATCTGCATTAGCTATACAAGCAACCCAGAGTACAGTTTGTCTCAGAAGATGTGAAACATCCATATCAAGATAGCTCAAGCATACAAACCACATGCAGTGGTGGACAAAACTGGAGGGCTCACTCTTGTGTTTTATTCCAAATGTTATTCCCAAGCACTGCCGAATAAGGATTGTCACCACTCCCAGAAATTCCTATTTTGTACTTATATGGTTGTTCAAGTACCCATATGCTTCACTATGGTAATTAATGCATTGCAATCTTTCTCACCTTAGGGCCTTATGGGCAAGCTGGACTACAATTCCCATCCTCCAATTGTTTTGGGTTTAAACTCCCACAATTCCTAACAGCTGATAAAATGGCTGGGATTTCTAGGAGTTGAAATCCAAAACACCTGAAGGACTAACTGTTAGGAACCACTACTCCCAACACTAGCCGGTTTTCTGAGTGTTGTTCTTTATTTACTGTCCTTATTTTAGAGTTTTTTAAAATACTGGTAACCAGATTTTGTTCATTTTCATTGTTTCCTTCTTTCTGTTGAAATTGTCCGCATACTTGTGGATTTCAATGGCTTCTCTTCTCAGGATGGCAAATAAAGAACAACTCTCAGAAAACAGTGGAATTCCAGACAGGAAAAAATCAGGGCCAGCTAACACCTCTCAATAAAGGATTCCCCCATAGAATCATAAATGAGCCATCCAGTCCAACCCCCAGCCAGGGAGCAGGAAAATTGCAATCAAAGCACCCCTTACAGATGGCCATCCAGCCTCTGTTTAAAAGCCTCCAAAGAAAGAGCCTCCACCAGGCAGGAAGCAGCCAGGCTTTGAAGCTGCAAGGCTACTCAGTGCTAATCAAGGAGGCCAATTGCAACATTCACACTTGCCTCCAACAGACAAGAGTTCTTTCTCTCACCCTGGACATAATACAGATATATAAACCCCACTTGACTACAGGTCTCACAACCTCTGATGATGCCTGCCATAGATGTAGGTGGACGACAGGAGAATGCATCTGGAACATGGCCATACAGTCCAGAAAACTCATAACAACCCAGTGATTCTGGTCATGAAAGCCTTCAACAACACAAAGCATGTGTTGCTTAACAGTTTATTTTACTGACATCCAACAAACAACATTGTTAGTGTACGCAATGAACCGCAATTTCACTAATCGAAACATCCAATTTCTATAAAGTTGATTTGCATCCCCTTGGAACTTATATGCATGGATTGATGGTAAAAGGCCTGGCAGGTGGGAGAGGATTTCCCACACCCCACATATTCCTCCCTCTTTGATGTGCAGCAAATACTGCTGAAGGTAAATGGAACAGTGCAGAATAACTATTGTACGGAGCAAAGTGCCTTTGAGTTCTACAGCACATTCAGACCAACCCTCTCTTGCATATTCTTCTTTTTCCAATTCATGGCAACCCTACCTTGGGGGTTTCTTGGCAAGATGTGTTCAGTGGATTGGAGTTTTGGCCTTGGCCCTCCTCTTGGGCTGAGATAGCGTGACATGGCCAAGGTCAATGGCTTCAAATTACAAGAGAGGAGATTCCATCTGAACATGAGGAAGAACTTCCTGACTGTGGGAGCCGTTCAGCAGTGGAACTCTCTGCCCCAGAGTGTGGTGGAAGCTCCTTCTTTGGAAGCTTTTAAACAGAGGCTGGATGGCCATCTGTGAGGGGTGATTTGAATGCAATATTCCTGCTTCTTGGCAGAATGGGGTTAGACTGGATGGCCCATGAGGTCTCTTCCAACTCTTTGATTCTATGATTCTATGAGGTATTAGCTGGCCATGATTGATTCTTGTCTGGAATCCCCCTGCTTTTTGAGTGTTGCTCTTTATTTATTGTTCCAATGTTAGAGTTTTTTAATACTGGTAGCCAAATTTTTTTTTTTTGAGTAACACTCCGAAAGCAGGGGAATTCCAGACAAGAATCAATCAGGGCCAGCTAATGCCTCCCAACAAAGGATTCCCTCAGGCAGCAATCAGCCAGGTTTTGAAGCTGCAAGGTCAATCAAGCTGGAATAGGAAGGGGCCTGGGGTTCTTAGGAATTGTGGGAGTTTGTTTTGTTTTTTTGTCATGTCAGGAGCGTCGCTTCTGTTGTGCAACAGAAGCGATTGTGGGAGTTGGAAGTCCAAAACACCTGGAGGGCCAAAGTTTGCCCATGCCTGATAGAAAGCTGCCCTCAGGCTCTTCTGTGAGATGCATTGGGCACATGAATGACCTTCCTATTTAGACATAGGTGCCACCTCCAGAATATCTCATGATGTATGCAAATAATGTGCAAATACAGGTATTCCTACATAAAATCCCAAATACTTTAAGGAAGGGAGAGAGGGATATTCAACCTGTATTTGCACTGTGCCTACTTTAAATCGCCACCAGATAAACATCTCTCTCTTATAGTTTTTTTTTCTCTCTCCAAAGATCTTTGGTTTGGAGGGGGGAGGTCTAAAGAGGGACCCCATCTCACAGGAAGTAAGTGGTGAGCTTCTTCTCCCCCATCCTGCCCAGTTTCCTCCTTACCTGTCAGCAAGCGCCTTCTTCTCCCCTCCGCCTGGCAGGCTTAGAGGATCCCATCCTCCACTTTCTCCCTCCTGGTCGGAACTGGCTGGTGAGGACTTTTCACCCAACTTGCCAAGCTGGGACTCGCTCAAGTTCAGGCAGAGAAGAGCGCTCCCAGTCCTTCTTTCCTTTCAAGGGCTTCTCACAAGCGTTCTCAAGGGACGAGAATGCCTCTGAGCATGCACAGAGCGTCGCCTCCTCTTCCAACTTTACGAACGACCTCTCAAAACGCGCGCAGGTTTTTCCAGGAAGGGGCTTTGCCAAGAAAGCCCCTTGGTCGCATGCCAAGAAAGAAAGAAACACAACTCATAAAAGCAGACCACCAGCGGGATGGAGAGAGAGGCGGGTTCTAAAGGGCGCCTGGGTGGATCCTGAAGAATGAGAAGCAGACCTCTCTCTTGTGCCTGCGGGGCGAGCGCCTCTTGCCAGCATCCGCACCGCCCGACGCGCATCTCTTCCCTTCGCCCTCCGCCAGGAGAAACTGCTCAGACCCACCTGAGCTGGAGCCCCGCCCCGCCCCCAAGTGAGCCCATCTCAGGCAAAAGGGACCCCCTGCTCCCTCTCTCTCTTCCCCCTCTCCCCTCCCTCTCTCTCCCTCCCCCCCCTCTCTTCTGGATCTCTCTCCCTCTCTTCCCCCCTCTCCCTTTCTCCCTCTCCCTCCCTCCTCCCCTCTCTCTCTGGATCTCCCTCCCCCCTCTCTCGCCTCCTCTCTCCCCCTCTCTCTCCCTCTCCCTCTCTCCCTCTCTCTCTCCCCCCCTTCTGGATCTCTCCCCCCCTCTCTTTCTTCCTCTCCCTCCCTCTTCCCCTCTCTCTCTGGATCTCTCTCCCTTCTTTGTTTGGACGACGGTCGTCTTTCTTCTTCTTTTCTGTTTTTGTTTTGTTTTTGCTTGTTTTATTTTCTATTGTTTTTTATTATTGAATATTGTCCCCCTTTTTTTTTTGTTTTTCTCTTTTTCTCCCTCCCTTTCCCCTCTCTCTCTGGATCTCTCTCCCTTACTCCTTCTCTCCCTCTCTCTCCCTCTCTTCTGGGTCTCTCCCTCCCCTCTCTTTCTTCCTCTCCCTCCCTCTTCCCCTCTCTCTCTGGATCTCTCTCCCTTACTCCTTCTCTCCCTCTCTCTCCCTCTCTTCTGGGTCTCTCCCTCTCCCCTCCCCCTCTCTCCCCCCCCCTCTCCCTCTCCCTCCTTCCCTCTCTCTCCCTTTCTCTGTCTCCCCCCTCTTCTGGATCTTTCACTCTCCCCCTCTCTCTTTCTCCCTCTCCCTCCCCCCCCCACTCTCTGGATCTCTGTCTCTCTCCTTCCCTCTCTTTGAATCTCTCTCCCTCCCCTTTCTGGATCACTCTCTCTCCCTCCCTCTCTCTCCCCCCTCCCTCCTCCTCTCTTCTGGATTTCTCTCCCTCTCCCTCTCTCTCTTTCTCCCTTCCTCCCTCTTCTCTCCCTCCCACCTCCCTTCCTCTTCCTCTTCCTCTCCCTCCTCTTCCTCTTTCTCTCCCCCTCTCTGTCCCTCTCTGTCCCTCTCTGAATCTCTCCCCCTCTCTGTCCCTCTCTGTCCCTCTCTGAATCTCTCCCCCTCCGATCTCTCCCTCCCTCTCCCTCCCCCCTCTCTTCTGTATCTCTCTCCCTCTTTCTTCCTCTCTCTCCCTCCCTCTCTCTCTCCCTCCCTCCTCACCCCTCTCTCTGGATCTTCCTCCCTCCGCACTCTCCCTCCCTCTCTGAATCTCTCCCCCTCCCTCTTTCTCCCTCTCTCTTGCTCTCCTTCTCTCTCTCTCTGAATTTCTTCCTCTCTTCCCCCCCCCCCTCCCTCTCTCTTGCTGGATCTCTC